GGGAAAGCTGTTTCCACAAAGTGACTATATTGTGATTAGTGGGACTCCTGATAAGGATCTCTAAGTCACACTTAGGTACGACCAGCCAATGACTTTTGCAATTTTGTTTCATTGCCGCATGTTATAGAGGGAGCACAGACGCTAGAAGAGTTTGTTTCTACATTTAACCACCATGGAGGGACGTCGTTGCCATAATGATCCGGACCAAGAAATAAGGAGTCCCGGAGGTGCAGCCACTGACTATACCTGATAAGACAAGGCGTCACTGAGATATCAGCATGGCAGGTGATTACATTTTGACTGCTGTGTTGCATGATGTAGCCCATATGTAGATCATTGTAATCTTGTTGTTGAGGAAATATTTGTATGATTTGTAGTACTGGCATCTTAATACACTGCGGTCAGTTGTACATGCATTTTCCACTTAAACGCAAACATTGTATGAACTGTATGAAAAAAAAGGTAAACAAAAAGGTATTCACCACTGAAGTAACTTAAATTCAAAACTAGGTCTAAAATAATTGTATACATGGAACACATTTTTGATGTCGAAAGGTATGCAAGGTGCCTTATCATGTAGTGTTTAAATCGTTTTGTCTACCTTTTCTATATCCAGTTTGCAAATGACCTAGGAAGACCAAGAGGGGGCATGATATCTTTCATAATAATTTACAAGAATTCACCCAAATTATATTTCTCTCTCAAATTAGTGACAATCTGTGGATTAAGTTTTAGGTTTCAGCATATAGATTTGGTCCATTTTATTTTATTCATTATGTTTTGTTTCTGTTTTGTTATATCTAATTCTGATATTTCTGCCTTCACACTAACGCGGGGGAGTGGAATTTTGTCGATGCTAATTACGTCATTAAGAAATTTACAGTAGCCAAGTTCAGTGAACAACCACTGTCAGCTGCCCTCATTGGACATTCTGTGTACCTCTAATAAAATAGAATAAAAGATAGTAAGAAATAGGCTCTTTGAAAATTGTTGAGATGATTTTGTGAACATTGGTGAATGATATGTTTAAAAGCTGTGAACACAAAGCAACTCCATCCTTCACCACCACTAACAACAAAACTGTTTAACTACAACCTGTTGATTTAATGGAGGATGTATAATCCATCCTAATGTGAAAGGATCCAATCTTAAATATGATTTTGGTGTTTTTTTATCTTTGTCTGCAGATGATGCAGAAAATGTCAGTGATTATTCAGACTATTATGAAGCCAACAATAGCAGTCCTTGCAGCACCACCGCTCTGATGGATTTTGGCAAGGTCTTTCTGCCCACCTTCTACAGTCTGGTTTTCGTCCTTGGCGTCATAGGTATGAGTGTGTTTGTAAGCGACAAACTTTCTTTACATACACTAAATGATACTCTGGAATACTAAACCATGTGCTCCGCCCCCTCTCAAGGCAATGGTTTAGTGGTGTGCGTCCTGGTGAAGCACCGCCACAAGACCAACTTGACAGACATGTGCCTCTTCAACCTGGCTGTCTCCGACCTCGTCTTTGTCTTCACGTTGCCTTTCTACTCTCACTACTCCGTGGTGGGTGAATGGCCTTTTGGAGACTTCCTCTGCCGCTTCGCCTCTGGCTCACACACCACTGGATTTTTAAGCAGCATCTTCTTTATGGTTGTCATGACGCTGGACCGCTACATGGTCATCATGCACGCTCACAAGGTGGCACAATATCGCACTTTTAGGGCAGGCATCGCTCTGACCGCCTTTGTTTGGACGATGAGTTTGTGCTTCTCCCTGCCGGGCCTCTTCTTTACGAAGGTGACAAACGAGTCCACGGGAGTTGCCTGCAGCTACAAACCAGAAAACGATGCCTGGAGGCTCTATGACATCCTCATGAAGAATGTATTGGGCCTTGGGATTCCGCTGTTGGTGATGATAGTTTGCTACTCCAGGATCATCCCCATACTGCTGAACATGAGGAGCACCAAGAAGCACCGCGTTGTCAAGCTGATCATCTCCATAGTGATCGCCTTTTTCATGTTCTGGGCCCCATATAACATTTCCATTCTCTTGGAGTTTCTGAAATTGTCGACTGATTGCAACTCACACCAAAGTCTTAAGCTGTCGATAATAGTGACCGAGACCATTGCTTATTCTCACTGCTGCCTGAATCCCATCATCTACGCCTTTGTGGGACAGAAGTTTATGAGACGAGTATTGCAGATGTTGAAGAAATGTGGGTCTGGGTTTCTCCCCTCTACAAGAGAAAATAGCTCACACAGGAAAAGCTCAGTTAGGTCCAGGTCCTCTGATGCCACCACCAATTTCATCATGTAGGAGGTGGATGGTAGATTATTTTTTATGGACATGGCTTACAGGGTTGACACATTTTGCTCTGCTTAGTGTTGTTATTACTGAGTACAATATTGGCATTGTTCCTGCTGTAAGATCTGTTTGGGCTCTTCCATTATCCACCATCACAGTTTTTAGTCATCAGCATTGTCTAAGCTGAAAACGCTGCATGTATGTGTGTATGTCATCTTTATCTTTTTTTTTCTTCTATCTTTAGACCGTTGGATTTTTACTTTCATTGTGTTGTGTGTATCATAACTTGTTAGATGTGTATTGCCATCAAGTGTGATCCGATGAGTATCAAAATCTCTTCATGTTGTCAGGTCTGTCACGATTTGGGTTAATGTCTGGTTTTATTTTGTAGTTTCTTGCCTCTGTTCTCCCTGGGTCATGTCACTTCCTGCCTTGTCCTGTCCTCCTCTGTGATTGTCTGTCATTTCCTGATGTTTCCACCTGTGTCCAATCACCTGCACCTCCCTAGTGTATTCAAGCCATGTGTGTCTGTTGTCACTTGTCGCGTCATTCTTTTGTCACGCCTGCCTCTCGTTCCTGCCTGCCCTTTTGCCCTTAGTTCCTGTGTGTTTTTGCCCGTTTTGACTATTAAAGTCCTTTTTTGTTTTCGAACTCTGCGTTTGAGTCCTGCCTCCCAAGCACCCCTTGACAAGGTCATTTCTTTTAAAAGGTTTTTAATGCCCCTCTTTTTCCTGCTTAACAATTGACTGTAAACCATGAACCTTTTGTTTACTGCAGCCTGTAACCACAAACTCTGTTCATGTTTGGCTGATTGTTGTAAAACATTCACACGCCACTGTGCCTCTATTGAAGAGGAACATTCATGCCAACTGGAATCGAACAATATATTCTTTGTTTTTTACACTATCCTTGTTGTATATTCATTTCACTCAATAGAACAGGGTTGTGTAACACCTTTTGCAAGTTATTTGTTGTTTATGTGGAACAAAGTTTGGCTCATTGTACACACGCCTGTAAATTTTTATATATTTTCTCAATTTTGTTTCATGCCTCACATTTTTACCATTTATTAAATTGTTTTAATTATTTTTTTCATTATTCCAGGAACATCTGTGTCCCAGTGATATTACTTTAATGTCAGTGTTATTTCAGCTTCATGCTTTTTAATCTTTTCTCGTTTGTTTTAGAGTTCCATCTCTAAAGAGTACCCAGTTATGATGTTGAATTGTGATTTTTTTCTCGCACGCAACAAATCTAAAGCACAACACAACATTTTTTCAGTGCCATAATGACTTGAGTGTTCAACGCACGTTGTGTCTTCTATAAGAAAGTACTTCCACCATCTTCATTGTTTGTGTAGTAAATAGTAGTAACTTTCTCTTAGTACAGATAAAATGAGACATCTATGGGACAGAATAGTCTTTTTTCATTTAATGTTTAACTGACTATGTTTAAAAGGGAATTTGAAATGGTCACAATTTAAACTCTCTCTGACCAATAACTACTTTAACAAAGGCAGCGTGTTGCTAAAGGACAAGGCAATTTTATTTGTATAGCACATTTCAACAACAAGGCAATTCAAAGTGCTTCACATAAAACATTAAAAACATCCAAACATAACAAAAAGGATAATTAAAATAATCAGTTAATGTTACGTGCCTCGGCCTGCTTGGGGGTGTGTGTGTGTTTTGACTTGTGTTCCCACAGGTGTTCTGACACACCCACCATGCAGTCATCTCCACTGCCCGCTCCCACCTGCAGCCACTAATCACCCTCACCCACAGCCAATCAACTGCAGGATGCCGTGGCTTAAAAGGAGGTCGGGAGGGAGAGACGAGGAGGCAGAGCTGTTGGAGAGAGCCGAAGGACTGTTGCAACAAAATAACTTTTTGGCAGGAACTATTGTTTTGAGCTGGGTTCAAGTGACAGTTCTTGTGTTTTTGGTTACATATGTATTTGGGTCATGTGAACTGGTGAAGGTCAAGTTATTGTTGTTATTCTGTCTGTGGTTATCACGTTGTTTGTACTTTTTATTTTTTGCTTCTTCCGTTGTCCCAGGGAAAAGGGGACCGCACAATGGGAGTGTGTAGGTAAGAGACCCTGGGGTTTACATACTGCCCGTAGATAAACCTCTGTCTATATACACTAGGTAAGACCTGGGCGGACCACCCCCTGTATTTATCAGAGAGTTTAGCAGGTGGTGTTTAGACTAGATAGGTTAGGGGTCCTTTTCATTGGTTAATTTCTTTGCTTTGGTTCCGCTCAGCCCCTTTTCCCCCACTACCGTATTATAGGTGAAATAAACCTGGTTTAAACGGTACTTTGTTTTGTGGGTCCTACTTGTGCGCCCATGCAATTTGTTTCACCTCACCCACCTTTTGGCCAGCTCACGTGTGACGGCGAGTTACGGTATCCTCTCTTTAGAGGAGGGCGTAACAAATGGGGGCTCGTCCGGGATATTGGATCTAATACCCGTTACTCTGAGCGCGTCATTGGGAACTTGGTGTGGTTGTATGTAGTCTATACATTTAGTGAGTCGTTGTAGCACATTGTTGGTATGGCGACTTCGGCATTGGCCGGTTTCTTCGAAGCCCCTACTCTTGAAGGGTTGGCTGCGCTTCGTAAGGTAGAGTTGCAGGCCTTAGCGGAACATTACGAGATCCCTGTTCCTAAACAAAAGCTTAAAGCTGAGCTTTTGACCCTAGTAACAGAAGGGTTAGTAGAGAGGGGAATTTTGTCCTTGAAAGAGGATGAGAGGGGTGCCTCAGGAGAGGAGTCTGATGGATCCTCTGATGTAAAAACAGAGGATGGTGTAGAGGAAGAGGTTGCTCGTACTCCTGTTACGTTGCCCCGGTTTGACCCTTTGTCTCCTCCTTCAGGTCATTCTAACGGCGCTGCTAGGCTCAAAATGAGGCTGGCCAGGTTGGAGATGGAGCTAAGGGAAAAAGAAAGTATTCGACAAAGAGAGTTCGAGTTAGAAATTCGGAAATTGGAAATCAATAAGGAAATTAGAATTCGACAACTGGAGCTAGAGGCTGGCTCCCGAGTGAGTCCGTCTTCTGCTCCGCCTCAGGCTCACTTTGATGTGAGTAAGCATATTGCTTTAGTACCGCCATTTAGGGAATCAGAAGTTGATTGTTATTTTTCTGCTTTTGAGCGTGTGGCAGCTGCGCTGCACTGGCCACTCGAGGTTTGGTCACTTCTCTTACAGTGTAAACTGTCCGGGAAGGCCCAAGAAGTTGTTGCTGCTCTCTCCCTGGAAGAGAGTTTAAAATACAACGTTGTAAAAGCTACCGTTCTTCGCGCGTATGAACTGGTCCCCGAAGCATATAGGCAGAGATTTAGGAACCACAAAAAGGCTTTGAATCAAACTTTTGTAGAGTTTGCCAGAGACAAAGAGTCTTTGTTTGATCGCTGGTGTTCAGCCAGCAAAGTTACAGATTTTGCTGGTATCCGAGAGTTAATTTTGTTGGAAGATTTTAAAAACACTCTACCTGAGCGTCAGGTGGTTCATTTGTGTGAACAAAAGGTGGCAACGTTGGCTCAGGCCGCAGTGTTGGTCGATGAATATACCTTGACACATAAGAGTGCGTTCACGCCACCTCGTGTTGGGGACAGAACATTTGTGCCATCTGTACAAAGTCCTGCTCGTCCTTCAACCAGTTCGTCCAGTCCCAAGGATGTGCGGGAGTGTTTTTATTGTCATCAAAAGGGGCATCTGATTGCCACCTGTCCTGTGTTAAGCAACCGAGACAGGCGACCGATGACTTCCGGTAACAAACCAAAAGGTGTTGGTCTGGTCTGTTCCAAGAGGCAGCCGGTGAAAAGCGGTGCATGTTCTGCACGAAGCAAACCAGACAGACTGTACAGCCCATTTTTGTTAACAGGTTTGGTCTCCTTATCGGGGATGGAAAGTGATCAAAGGCCCATCCAAATTTTGAGAGACACTGGAGCTGCCCAATCTGTTATTCTTACAGATGCGCTGCCTTGGTCTTCAGAGACGTCTTGTGGTTCCCAAGTCTTGCTGCAGGGTATTGAGATGGGGACACTGCCCGTGCCCTTGCATTGGGTCCATTTGACGTCTGACTTGGTTTCAGGGCATTTCCGTGTTGGTGTCATGGACACGCTGCCTGTGAAAGGTGTGACTTTGCTGTTAGGCAATGACATTGCAGGTGGAAAGGTGACACCCTTGTTAGAAGTGTTGGATAAACCTAACCTTGATTCAGAAGATGAGGATCTGTCAAAGAATTTTCCTAATGTGTTTTCTGCCTGTGTGGTTACCCGAGCGCAGTCCCGACGACTAGAGGATGTTGTAAGTTTGTCTGAGGATCTATTTGACCCAGTGGCTGTGGAGAGTGAGGTTCCTCATGAGCCTGCGCGTGTGAACGAGGTTCACCCTCAAGGGGACGTTGTGGATAACTGGCCCCAATCAGGTGACCTTTTTGTAGCAATCAGCCCTGAAACAGTGATTGAACAGCAAAAAGACGATCGCAGTCTTCATACATGTTTTGCCTCTGTGGTGTTGCCGGAAGAGGTGAAAAATAAGGACACTGCATACTTCCTAGACAAAGGAGTATTAATGAGAAAGTGGACCGGCCATAAGGCAGACAGTGCTTGGAGGGCTGTATTCCAAGTAGTTGTTCCTGCCCCGCTTCGGCAGCAGGTGCTGTCTCTTGCCCATGATAATAATTGGTCGGGCCACTTGGGGATAACTAAAACCTTTGACCGTGTTCTGAGACATTTCTTTTGGCCAGGATTGAAGTCCGATGTAGCTAGGTATTGTAAGACATGTCATGTGTGTCAATTGACAGGGAAGCCAAACCAGACGATACCTCGAGCTCCTCTCTACCCTATACCTGTGATAGGAGAACCGTTTGAGAGAGTCATAGTGGACTGTGTAGGGCCATTGCCCAAAACCAGGACTGGTAATCAGTTTTTATTAACTGTAATGTGTTGTGCCACTAGGTATCCAGAGGCTATTCCTCTTCGAAAGATAACTGCTAGGACGGTGATCAAAGCATTGGTCAAGTTCTTTTCGACATTCGGACTTCCTAAAGTGTTGCAAACAGATCAGGGAACCAATTTCCTATCTAAGTTGTTTGCCAAGGTGTTACAGACATTGTCGATATCCCACAATGTATCCAGTGCGTATCATCCGGAGAGCCAAGGTGCCTTGGAACGCTGGCACCAAACACTTAAGTCAATGCTGCGCAAGTACTGTATGGACACCCAGAAAGACTGGGATGAGGGTGTGCCACTTGTGCTGTTTGCCATACGGGAGACCGTGCAGGAGTCCTTGGGGTTCAGTCCTGCTGAGCTGGTGTTTGGCCACACTGTTCGTGGACCGTTAAAAGTTTTAAAGGAGCAGATACTGGCTTCTAACTCAGTTGGCTCTGCTGATAAAAACGTGTTGGACTATGTGAGCCAGATGCGGGAAAGATTGCATGACGCATGTGCAGTAGCCCAAGAGACCATGTCTAACTCTCAACAAAGAATGAAACTCCAATATGACCGGAAAGCAGTTAGCCGTGACTGGAAACCAGGTGATCAGGTTTTAGTTCTGTTGCCGATTCCAGGTTCCGCCTTGTCAGCACGTTTTTCTGGTCCATATGTGATTGAAAGGAAAATCAGTGAAACAGACTATGTGGTTAAGACGCCAGACCGGAGACGCTCATCCCGGGTTTGCCATGTTAACATGTTAAAAACGTACCATGTTCGAGAGACCCATCCCAACTCCTCACATAAAGCGGTACAGCCTGCTGTGGTGCCTATGGCTTCTGTGGGACTGCATTCAGAGTCTCTAGCCGAAGAAAACCAGGAGGATGATTTGGTGGTACGTAACACTCTCCAGCAATGTGAACGGTTGTGTAACTCACAACTGTTAACAACTCTTCACTCCCAGTTGGGACATTTGGATGAAAGAGAAAGAAGGGATATTGTTGCCTTAATTAATGATTTTCCAAGCCTTTTCAGGGATGTTCCAAGTTGTACATCCATCTTGGAACATGATGTGAATGTAAGGGATGCCGCTCCGATCAAGCAGCATCCCTATCGTGTGAACGCTGTGAAGAGGGCAGCAATGAAACAAGAAGTGAGTTATCTGCTACAACATAAAATGGCCAAACCCAGTATTAGTCCGTGGAGCTCCCCTTGTATTTTGATCCCTAAACCTGATGGTACTTTTCGGTTCTGTACTGATTATCGACAAGTGAATGCTGTCACTGTGCCTGACTCATTTCCCTTACCACGTATTGATGACTGCGTCGACACCATAGGTGCTGCGGCGTATGTGACTAAGCTTGACTTACTGAAGGGTTATTGGCAGGTGCCTCTAACCTCTCGTGCTTCTGATATTTCGGCTTTTGTCACTCCAGACAACTTCTTACAGTATAATGTAATGGCGTTTGGGATGCGCAACGCACCGGCCACGTTCCAGAGGCTGGTGAATATTGTACTAGGTGAGGTCCCTAACTGTACTGCCTACTTAGATGATTTAGTCATTCATTCCGCCACGTGGTCTGACCATATCTCCACTCTAACAGACGTGTTTCAGAGGTTGGAGAAAGCATCATTGACCCTCAATTTGGCTAAATGTGACTTTGGAAAGGCTACAGTCACCTACCTAGGCAAAAAAGTTGGACGTGGACAGGTGCGGCCTGTGGCTGCCAAAGTGGAGGCTATTGCTAGCTTTCCTGCCCCTACGACCCGCCGCCCAATTACGCAGGTTTTTGGGGATGATTGGGTACTACCGTACCTTTTGTAAGAATTTTTCAACTGTGGTCGCTCCCCTAACCAATTTGCTTAGCCCCAAAATAGCTTTTCAGTGGTCTCCAAAGTGTCAAACTGTTTTGGATTCAGCTAAGATGTTGCTTTGTAGGGCCCCAGTTCTTGCAGCCCCTAACTTTGAGAAACCTTTCAAGTTAGAGGTAGATGCTAGTGCTGTTGGGGCCGGTGCAGTGCTCTTGCAAGAAGATGACGACGGAGTGGACCATCCTGTCAGCTTCTTCTCGAAGAAATTCAATCCCTGCCAATCCAGGTACTCTACCATTGAGCAGGAGGCTCTGGCCCTGTTGTTAGCCTTACAATTTTTTGAAGTATATGTTGGCTCGAGTGTATTGCCTGTTCTGGTCTTTACTGACCACAACCCCTTGGTTTTCCTAAACAGGATGTATAACCAGAACCGCCGTCTGATGCGGTGGGCCATAATGGCCCAGGGATATAATTTGCAGATCTGCCATGTAAAGGGCTCCAATAATGTTGTGGCAGATGCTCTGTCCCGCGCATGGTCTTAGGTGGTATGTGTTTGTTTTGTTACACAAA